GTCTCTGGACATTGCTGCAGAGTAACCACGGAGATCTAGGCAAGTGCCATTGTTCTTATTTTACAAAGATAAAAGAAAGAGGAGCACAGAGAACACAAACTTATCCAGCACATCACGGGGGCCAGGAAGGGAGCCTACATCTCAGCGCAGCTCAGTGCCCTGCCAGCGAGGCCGCTTGCACAGAGCTATGGGCATGCACATGGAGCAGTCACTCGCTGAAGGATGCTGACAGCTTCTGGCCAGAATGATTCATTGACTGCACTCCATTTAGCTGAGTAACCAGAGGCATTTGATGGAGAAACTCTGCAGGTGACATGCCCTACATTTCATGCCACATTAGACACTGAGAAAACCATCTCTGACAATAACTGGGAGGCAAGGAAAGAAACGGAGGTGGTGTGTGCTAACAAGTATAGCAAAAAAACTAAGTGCTGATAAAACCTCAACACTTCCAGTAGCAACAGAAAGTTGGTAAGAGTCTGTAGAGGAAGAATACACTGTTTTTTATTTAATATGTCAAGTACTGCTAATGCTGATTTCCTTTTTTTAAATTAAATATATTTATATCTATTTATCATGCAAATTATGTGATGTGGTGTTTTATTTGATGGGTACTGGAGCTCTTACTAAACAAGTTCCAGGACTTTTAACATATGATGCGGTCTGAAAAGATGGAACTTGCATCCACAGCCTGAAACAGGGTACGGAAAGTACCTTGGTTATTTTGCACTTGTCGTATCCAAAGCATCTCCTCACACCTCTATGTTAATCTTCATTTCTATGTGTGCATTTAAAAAGCATCCTCTGTGCAGCACCAGATGTGTAATGCCACCTAGCTGCTCTTGCTCAGTTATTCTCACAGGGATTTTACAGGGTGCAATTCAGCTAGGCTATTAAGTTACGGAATATAAAGGAACCGTATCAACACACAACCAGACCATGCGTGATCTTCCCATGTGCCTTACACAAGAAAAAAGAGCCCTTTGCCTCATTTATGCTGGGGTTTTGCCCTTCTTTTCTCTCTCGGTCGGAATAGCTGCACCAAGTGCAAAGCTCGCCAGCGGGGAAGAGAAAGCCACGGTTTGCATGTGCACATGGCCACTGCTGGGTGGACACTTCGGGCTGTGCAGGGTCACATCCCCGTTCAGCTGAGGCCTGAGATTGCATCTCCGCAGCCCGTGGCAGCGGGAGGCTCTAGGCTGGTGTCAGCAAAACAAGGCTGATGATTCGAGACTAGCACATTACATCGTACGCCTGCAAAGGTGGCTGCTTAGCAAAAAAAATAAAAAGTCACTGCACATTTGTTTGTTTTATCTGGGCCAGCAGGCAGGTTTTATGCTGATTTCCATCACAACTGATTTGACGTGTCACATGTTCAGCAACAATTAGGACATAATTCAAAACGCTTACAAATTGCTTGGAGATTAGATCTTGGGAATCCTGCAGCTGTAATTACCTGATGTAAATCTGATGTCGGTGCACCAATCGTTTGGATATTCAGCGCAGTAAATCAGGTAGTACCCCTGGAGGAAGCCATTATAGATACAGAATAACATGCCAAAGAAAAGCAATTGCAGTGGAAAAGGTCTGCCTCTAGTGAAGAAGGGGTAAATAAATGTCCTAAGGTAGATAAGAAAACAAAGTCAGCATGTTACTCATGATAACGTTGTATTTGCAATTTCTCTACTGTAGGAAAAAAAACTTCAACAAAACACAAAAGATAAAAATGGTCAATAAAGATTAAAAAAAAAGGAAAACAACTGTAACAAAATAAGATCAGCAACTAATGGGAACAAGAAATACTGCAGATACCTACATTTTTCTGATCCTTCAGGACTGAACACAAGGTGGGAAGCTAGAAATCTCATCTAGAGTCACTGCCACCTCAGGAATGTCTCTCTGCCTTCCTTCTCCCTTGTTGGTAAAATGGGGAACTCGTGCCCACAAGCAGCATTTTGGTTTTAAGACCTTGTCTGCCCTTTGCTGTAATGCTGCAGAGGGCCGAGCAAAGGCTGATTGACGGCACAGGGGCACGCTGATGTTCGAACCGAAGTGTTGCAGGGCAGTACCAATTGCGATATTGATTCCCCAAATGAGCATCGCTGTGCCACAGCACTGTGGAGGAGCTTTGTTATGGAGAAGACATTTCTGATCCCACTGCGAGGACCAGTGCCTGAGGGCTTTAGCCCATGGTGGCAGATGGAGTTGAAGGCAGCGTCAAGACCCCTTGGGCTCTCTCATCCCCTGCAGAGTGTAGCCTGAGGTGTAATCCCCTCTCCCAGCCTCTCCCGCTCCACTCAGACACTTCTGCTCATCTCTGACATGCGGCAGCTGTGTCCTGCCCCGCTCGGACACGTCGACACAGAGGCAGTGCAATGTTGTTGGCTGCCTGGGGGAGCTGCTTTGCCTGTAGACCCTCCATGCTTTCGAACTTTTCTTTGAAATAAGAAGATCTAAAAACCTAAGTTTAATATGGTAATTGCAAAGATTTCCAGGTAGCTCCAGCAGTTAGGGCTTCCTTAGGCAAAAGCAGTGCTAACACTAGCATTGACATCTGCAGGAGCAAATAAATAGTGCTTGTACAGTTTTAATTTTCACATATCTTTGGTGGGTGTGTCCCTCTTGACACTTTGGACAATCCCTGTTGTCCTTGGGAAAGTGAAATGGAGAAGTTATATTCATATTTGTTAGGCATTTTCTTACCTGGCCAGTTAAGCTCTGTATGTGGTACACTCTTAATTTCTTTTGCCCTCTTGGGCTGTGGATGGTGCTCATCATAAAATATATAAACACTGTTGATAAGTCATCCACATTCCAGGTTGCCAATATCAATTTGAGCAAGCTGAGGCATAAAGTGTCGTAACATTATAAATCTAGATTAAATCGTAGCGAGCATGTCGAAAAGTGAGCAAGCAGAGTACAAGCAACAACTTGTTAATGTATTCACTGCTTTCCAAAGCAAGGTAAGCCAGATTTCCAGCAATTAAGACAGTATGATGCAGAAGTGCTAAATATTTCTAAATATAGTTAAACCTGAGAGGTCTGGAGAATATTTTTCAGACAGTAATTATCACATTTGTCAGATTTATGACAACATGGTAAAGAATGCTCTTTGGAGTAATGTTACCAGTAGTTATTGGGTTTGCCCTTCAGGAATGGGATACTGGAGTTACGAGTAGGCGAGGCCGGCTTTAGCAACCGGACTTGCCTGTTGAAGAAATATTGACAAAATGGACCTGAACAGCTACAAAGAAGAAATGGGAAACTTGCAACTGGAAGCTCGGAGACAGCAAATTGTATAGAGGCAAGAATGATATCAAACCACACAAAGGGAGTTTAGGAGGGGAATTTGTACAGCAGATCGGAGCGGGACTTGCACTGCTTTATCCTGTGTGAACACCAGTTACATCTGAGAGTCTCTTTATTTTCACAGCTGATGGAAACAGAAGTTTCTAGCATGAGCTGGCATTTCTCAGCTCCCGGCAAAGTTGATTGTTGCCATGGTGCTTCCCAGTGCTGCTGTCGCGGGAGAAAGGTTATAGGCCCTAAAGGTGACTTGTCCTACAGTAAGAGGAGAGCAAAAATCAGCCGTAGCCCTATCTACCATGGATGCAGTGGATGCAGGGCAGAAAGAACCAGCATGCAAAGTACAAGTACAAGTGCAGGGGAAGCAGGAGGTGTCAGCTCTTTTTTTGTTGAGGGAGTGAAAGCCTGGCATTGCTGAAATCCCGCCTCACAGCCATTTTGAAAATCCAAGTCAGGATTTCATCCAAGAATCTTTGTTGCGGAGCAACTGCTCTGAGGAAATCTGCTTGGGTCTGTAAATCCAGAGGCCAGGTTCAGTTATCTGTATCTGAACAATGCCCTAAGTCTTTGTTTTAATGCAGACTTGTCAGCTTGTTCTACATCACTACTTGAGGGTGCATAAACTGTTCATCATGGGTTTTGAAAAAGCAACTGAGATAAAGCAGGGACATTTAATAGGTTTAAATATTCCATGGAAGAGTCTGCATCTCTGCTGGAATTATTTTGCAGTGTGAAAATCAAAGGGGGACTGAAGGCCACCATTTTAGAATAACAGAACAAAACCTGGCCTTTTAGATTTAGACCAATGACAAATTTGACCTTTTTCTTTCAGTGCAGTATTGATGACTAATCCTTTATTCCTTTATTATCTTTACTGGCCAAAGGCACTGCATCTGACTAAGCCATTGCCAACAGCTTCTTTTTCAATGAGTGAATAATAAATTATTCATTTTCTTCATCATTTATTTTCCAGAAGAATAGATTTTGAAAAGAAAGATCATTTGACATTGCATCAAATTTCATTTTAAAGGTATTAGTCCAGCTCCTTGAAAGCTCCAGAGACCCTCACCCAAACTGGGCAAAAACTACAGGTTTGCTCATCTTTCCACAGAAGGTGAAAATCTTTATGAAAATGTTACCATAATCCACTAAGAGTGGGCTCTCAGTCCTCCACCAACAGCTTGTTAGTTGGAGACAGCTGCTGTTGTGTCTTCTCCTCTCCAGCGCCCAGGCGCAGCAGTTCAGGCACCAACAGCTCACATTTTCCAGCCTGGAAATTTGAGGTGTTTCCAGTGCTTTATGAGGTATTTTACACCTGGGGCTACTGGGTCAAGGGCTCAGGGCTGGCAGCTAAGAGTGGGGGGCACCTGGCTCCCTCTCACCCTGTGGGTCACCAGCCAACTGCCGTATCTGCCCATCTAGCTCTCTGCCACCAGGCCCTCTCCTGGGTCTAACCGGGATGAACTAGAGGCCAGGAACTGGTGATACTGCAAAGGCAGCCAGGGCTGATATGGTGCCTTTCCTTTTGAAGGTGGGTGCTGGCCATAACCCAGCTTAAGGGCTGTCTTAATGCCCTGGCCCATCCCCTGTGACCCTGGCCAGCTTCAAGAAGAGAGTTACAGACTTCTCCTGACTCGGGCTGCTCTGAGTCCCTGCAGGGGTTTTTCGGCTCCCCTTGGAGGATGGGGGGCAGGGCCAGCTCTGCATCCCTGGTGAGGATGAGCCAAGATGGTGAATGGTGCCTGAGAGAAGTTTCCACATGGTCTGGGCTCCACATCACTGGATGCCTGCCCGCTGCAGGGCATGTCTTCCTCGCCGGGGTCGGGGTCCACTCTGTGCCCAATTCCTGCATCGCCAGGACTGTGTGAAGCCATCAGAGAACTGTAATCACTTGCCGGTCCAAGGCCCGGTTTGTAAACTCACCTTAAATCATTGTCTATTGACTGTGATGGGAGCAAGACAAGACCCTTTTTTTTTTAATCATGGAGATTTACAGATATAGCTATGACTAACACAAAGTTAGAATTAGTTCTCCTTTCCAAACCACATGAAAACATCCTATTTGCATGTTCCTCCAAAGAACTTTGGACAAACTTTTGATGACTATAATTTAAGGAACAAGAAAGATATACGTATTACTAAAAAGCTTACAATTCAGCTCTATAAAACAATAGCAAACCTGTCAGTCAGGTTAATTTCTGAGTATTCTGTCTAAAAATATATGCTCAGTCTACAATCCTTGGGCTGTTTGTGGCTTACTTATGAAATCCAGCCAACCTGAAGCCTGTTCATAGGGACACTCTTT